TAGACTTAACAACACTAATTCAGTATCAGTTCAGGTTGTAACATAAATATAACCTGAATGACCTCCCTGTAAAAAATCTGATCCGTGTTTTATCTTTCCATGTTTTTTCCATGAATGTATCATTTTCATGGAATTAATAACCTTAAATCATGGAAATTTTCATCTCGACTTAACGGAATACAAACCTCGCTCAACGCATCGGACCTTATTCCGCATTTTCAAAACTACCTTGTTAGATAAATTCTTACATACACCTGTGTTTACTGCTCTCCCGCAGGCCTTCGATCTGGAATTTTTAGCTCTAGAATGCTGGTCGACCACTTTTAACTCAGTTTTCTATCATTGGCTCACTAGAGGCTTAATTCCTTCTTCTCTCACAACATTTTTGCATGCCTGGTTTTCTGATACTCAAATTCTGGACGTTATTGCACCTGCTCTCAAAGACTTCCACTTTGCGCTTTATGTGGAAATTTGGATTTGCCGCTCCATCCTTTTTAATGCCTGGGAAAAATCCCAAGGTATTACTACTTTTCAAAAACGATCTTCAATTCCTCAACAATGAACTACTACTCCCCTTGTGATCTCTTCTCTCTTATCCTCCTCAATGGCGTCAGTTTCCTCGGATTCCTGGGTTTCCTGAGTTTCCTCTTCTATAATCCGAGGTGGTTCATGGATCTCACACTTGGGTTTTCTGCGCCGCTTAACAGTTCAGCCTCTTCGTCTTAGGGTCTCTTTCTGGTAACGGTTAGGATTTTGGGACATGCTGGATAGTTGACTCACACTGACCTCCGGGTAAAGTTGGGGTATGCGATTCTGTAAAAATTTCTGATTCTTCACTTTTAGTTTAGATTTCTTTAATTGTATGAATCGTGAAGCTACTCTTTTATTTTATTTTAATTTTCTTATTTAAATTTAATACTGTTCGATTTTATTATTCGATTTTAAAATTACAAATAAATATAAAGTCATAAGTGATAAGACTGTTTGACAAAGGAAATTTTCATCTCGCTAACATGGATATCCGTGAATGTATCATTTTCACGGAATTTTTACGGAAGACACGGAGAAATAATGGAAATATTTGGATAAAAATTTTTTATAGGGCCTGTTGACCTGAAACTACTGTATAATTTTATATAAATGAGTTATAGTATTATAATTCACTTTTCATATTGATTTTATATAATAAAAGTGAGTTGCGATATCAGTATTCACTTTTTTATATTGATTTTATATATAAAAAGTGAATTGCGGTATCGGAATTCACTTTTTTATATTGATTTTATATATAAAAAGTGAATTGCGGTATCGGAATTCACTTTTTTATATTGATTTTATATATAAAAAAAGGTTGCGGTATTGCGATTCACCTTTTTATACGATTTTAATATAAAAAAGTGAATCGCAATATTTCAAAAAAAAATTTTTTGCACCATTTTTTTTTGATATTTTAATAAAAAGCCCAAAAATTTTCAGGTTTCAGTTCAGGACAGGTCAAACAGATAATGTTATATATACATTTATTCTTTAATTACTAAACTAAATATTTAATATAACAAACATTTATAAAAACTTTTTAAAAAAAAATTCATATTAAGATTCAATACAAATCAATTATAAATTAATTGGATCAAATTAATTTAATTAGTATTAAGAAATCTGATTTTTAAGTAATTATATAATATATAACTAATCAGATATATAATGAAATATAATTAACCAATTCATAGGGATCTGGGACGGGTCAATTCTAATGCTGGTCGAAAATATCACGTGATTCCACATAATTCCGCATAACTCTGCATAACGCGGGACAACTGTCGGGATTTTGACCCGCCGCGATTTAGACCCATAACCAATTCAGGGAATTAAATATATAATTAGGTTTTAATCAAGCAAGTTAAATTTTTTTAAATCAATCATTGATTAAGTTAATGTTAATTAAATACCTTTTACCAAACTAAACTTCTAAAACAAATGTATATTAATAATTTAATCCATTTTTTTTATAACCATTTTTATTCAAGGGGTATTTAAAAGAATATTCTTCGAATTCCATGAATATCCAAGATTCTCCAGTACTTTTATACAAAGAAAAATTGAAATTTGGTATTTTTAAGCCGAAATTCAATTTTGGAAAGTTTAATAAATAAAATATTATACATAAATGGGAAATTTTATAAAAAAAATTTGGACAAATTCGTAGTATTTTTAAATATTTTGAAGCTCAGATTTTCACCTCAAACCTCCCCTGAAATTATTTGCACGTTTCATGTTATTCCAAACCATCGATCATATTTTATTTTCCGAAATTAATTTAGAAAAGAAGTTATTTTTATGGCAAAGATCAATTAGCTTTGTACAACCGGCTCGAAAATCTGTCCTATCAAATTTTGCGCCCAAATTAATTTCGCCAAGAACTAATCATGAGTGGATTTTCTTCTGAATATGGACAATGTTTATTACACTGGTCTATGTTATATTTGTTTGTTTATTTTATATAATAAACCAAACATATGATGGTTTAAATTTTATTTTTAACATCTCGCTCACGGTTAAGAACCACTATCATCTCATAAATATTTTGTATGCTCGGATACTTCTTTTTTTGAAAAGCACAACGGATTAAAGGGAGTACGTGTGATGTACAAAAAAATAAGATTTCTCTAATAATTGCTAAACTTATTCTAAACAAATTCATAATATTATCAGATGATAAATTCTACCATTCTCTAATAAAGGAATTGGGACAAAAATCCCGACTATTAGGAATCTGTTATGATATGAACCCGATGAATAGGATCCTGATCGTTGAAATTTCGAATGGTTTCCAAGAATTTGGACATTCAACTAGGCTATCACAATATGACAAAGTAAGTTTTATGGATAATTTCATACGATTTTCATAAATGAAAAACCTCCTAATGATGATAATAATATGAAATCTAATAGAAAGATTACCATTAAATGATTTATTAATTTATAAATTAAGTCAAGTACGAGAAGATATTGTTTATTGTTCAATGAAAATTGGTATAACTAACGTGCTACAATAATAAAGCTACCATGCGAACTCAAGAGTAACGTAAATTAAGTATTATGATATAATCTTTACTCGTTCAAATGTTCAAGGGTTTCTATAATAAATATGCTTATCGTACAATTTGAATTTGGTTTAGGATAATCTACTCAGAAAGTTCTGTATAAATAAAAATAAATAATTCATTTTAACATTCCTTTTGTAAATGAATTAACAGAATATAGCTGATATTCAGTCTAAAGATGAAACAATTTATAGAGAGAATAGAATACCTTTTTTTTTTCTTTTTTGATAAGAATATGGAAATAAAGTGAATTTTTTTCAGTTAAAATACACAATAGTTTCCTTATTTTGACTAAAAATTGTTGTTAACATTGATTTATAATACAATCATCTGTCAATCTCATAATCATATGGTGTTTTCCTCTGTAATTTGTATCACCATACTCTTTTTAAAATTGTATTTTTTACTAATTAAATGTAACGGCTACAAATAAATATTAAAAGATATCGTGCAGTTTTTATTATTTTATCAAGAAAAATTAGAGAAATATTAGGATGATACATTGATACTTAAATGCTTTACTTGATAATTTTCGGAAGATGTAATGAACAATATACAGTGCATAATATAATTAATATAATTATAGTGTATAATTATTTAATTGTTTTTTTTTTTAAAACCCGAACCCGGCCGAAATCCATAAAAAAAAAAAAAAAAAAATTTTTTTTTTTTTTTCTTTATTTGTACTGGCTAAATCTGATGATTTGTATCATTATTAAAGTAAATTAAAAAAAAAAATCACAAGTAAAGTGTTTCAGAAAAAAAAAAGCAAATCATCTCCTAAAATAAATGAAGGTTCATTCTAATCAGGGTTACTAAGAAAATACAAAGCAATTCAACCATTATGTCTCTTTTAATAAATTATTAATTTCCTTTTGGCAAATCTTTATTATTATAATCATTTTATCCCCGAGGCCTTATGTTCCGAACGATATAAAATTTCAGACCTTTTTTAACAAAAAAACTTTTTTACAACGATTAATTAAATTAAGTTTACTTAATTAGGTAGATAGTTATCAAAGTTATTATCATATGTTTATGTATATGCATGTTTTTTTGAAACGATAATATCGTCAATGCATATATCGAACTTTTTTTAACAAATCATTTTTCATAAAAATATAAAAATATCTATATATTTTCTGCTTTATTTTATAATACCATGAAACCTTGTTGAAAAAAAAATCCTTTATTGGCGTTTCAATCGAACTTTTCTGTTTCTTTTTTTTATTTATATTACAATTTCCGGAAATTACATTAAATGATCGGTTTTTTGGGGGGAGTAAACCGTTCTGCATGGTATTGCATTTTATTGCCGATTTTAATTATTTTGTATCCAATAAAAGACATTATATATTTAGGTAACTAAAGTGTAATCTACAATAATTTATATTATTCTCTTTACAGATTAAAAGATCAACAACTTTAACTGTGATCCTATTTATATTATAAATTAAATTGGTTTGCAACAAATTCGAACTTTTCGTATTTTTTTTCCCCTCCTATTTTTTTTATCTCTTTTACATATATTACTCCCCCCTCATTTTATTCCATTAATTTCATCCTCATTCCCTTTTATTCGTTTAACGTTCTATTGTCTTTTGGAGTATTTATATCTTAACATTCACGGTCTTTTTTTTTTCTCGAATTCCTTGGCTTATTTTTTTTTTTTTTTTTTTTTTTTTTATTTCTTTATCGAAAGGAAAGAAAAACGAGAGGAATAAAATAACTTATTATTATTTATTATTTTAATAATTCTCTTTTTTTCTTGGACACACTATACCTTTAAAAGAAAGAAAAAAAAGTAAAAACAGCTTTCATGTGCTGGTACATGACTTATTAAATTTAATAAACACATATTCCACGGTCTAATTACAAAAAAAAAAATATAAAAGGATGGTTATTAATGTTATGAATTATTTAACATTAATTTTGTTGGTATTAGCACTGTGTGCATCATTTCCAACAAATACACAAGCAACAAATTCCCTTTCCGAAAAATTCAGTAAATGTGAAAAAGAATTTTGGTTTAAAAATCTTTCACATTATAAACAATCACTTAAATCTAAATGTTTAAAGGAGAAGAAACATCATCAAAATGAAAAGAGACATCGTCAAAAACATACTTGTCATAATAATAAATCTCTTGATAAGAAGATCATTCTTAAAAAATGGAAAGAATTTTCTAATTGTCGATGTGAATCAGCTATACAAGAATTGAAGGATACTAAAGAAACAAAAGTTTTAACTTGTTATCAAATTGCTAAATTTAATAAAGTTAGTGGAAAATTTATTGGTCAATTAACAGTTTTTAAGAAGAAATCAGATAAACATGATTATGATGTAGCTGTTGAATTTTCTAATGTTAAATTATTGAATAATAAGGAAGGTTATTATCGTTCAAAAAAGAGTAATCAAATTTGTAAAGATCAATATACTATTGAAACTTATTTTATTAAGGGTGAAATTTCAAAGAAAGAATCTATGAATAAGATTTCTTTAAATAGAATTTCTCCATCAAGTATCAAGATAATTGATAAAGATAATGAAAAAACTATAACTTTACCAAATGGTGTTCAAGTTTCAATTCCTTTCCCAAAATTCGGTCTTAATGATGATAAAGATAATAACATTGAAAAACCCCCAGAAAAAAATCCTAAGGACTCTAAAGACCCTAAAAAATCACCCGAGGCACCACCTGTTGATCCTGCTGGACCACCACCACCCACTAAACCATCTGACAATAAACCAGAAAAACCACCAGCATCTCCCGGTGATAATACCAATACTCCTGGTTATAATACTCCTGGTTATAATACTCCTGGTGATAGCACCAATACTCCTGATGATAGTACCAATACTCCTGATGATACCGATACTTCAAGTGGTAATACCAAAAATCAAAATTCAACCCCAGCAGACGATGATTCAAGCGTAAACACAATAGCTGGTCCAACCACCAAATCCGTTACCAGTTCAAACCAAGAAGCAAGTGTCAATCCACAAGGTGCCCCATTTACTGGGCTTCTCGTATTCGGTGTTATTGTTTCAGTTGGTGCCGCTTTTGTTGGTTATAATACCTATGAAAGAATTAAGTGGCGTAGACATTTTCGTCGTGGTCAAGCCGCTGCTGCCCAATTAAATCCTTCTTTAGCTAATGTACCTGATTATAATGGTTATGGTAGAGCTTACTAAAAAATGTAATAATTTTGGGTATCTTTTTTCTTGTAAATTTTATTTTCCTTTTTTTTTTTTTTTTTAAGTGATTTTTCTTTTAAAAATTGAATTTTAGTGTTTATTAAATTTTTTTAAATATCATCAAAAGACAAAAGATGTTTGAGAAAAATCAAACAAAACGGCATATAAATAGTTAAACGAATAAAAAAAATCATTCTCATTTCATCCTCCATATAACATTATTAATATAATTAGTTTAAATAATTCCGCATTCAACACAACAAATATAATCAATTTTCACTCAAAAATAAATCATCACAAATTTCTTTAAAAAAATAGTCTAAATCATTTTTTTTTTATTTTATTTTAATTTAATTTCTTTAATTTTATTTTTAAATTTTAGAAGGGAAGACCATATTATTATAAAAACAAGAAAAAAAAAAAATATTTTTTTTTTTCACGCGTAATATGCGGGATTAATGGGCCAAAAAAATATTTTATATGGTGGTATTTAGTTATCATTTGTTCAATAAAAAATCAAAATTTAGCACGTTATAAATATTTTTTTTTTTTGTATTAAAAATTTTTCTTGTAATTTTATTTCTTCATTTCTTTTAACGTCACGTAGACGCTAGCTAGATTCAATTATTAAAAGAATTTTATAGTTGTACAAAAATAATATCTTGATATCTTATTTTTATAAAATGTGATAAATTACGAAAACGCGTAAAATTATGTACTAATCGTAATATGATGCATTGACTAGAGTATATGATAACGATTGCTCGATTGATGATTATATCTAACGGCCCACGGCCCTATCAGAAATAATAATATATGACGCCATTCAATTGACGATATATTTTTATATATTTTCACGATAAAAAATCATAAACGTAAAATTTATTAATTGGAAATACTATAAATATCGTACTTATTTGAAATTGGACCCACTGATTCTAACTAATATTTCAATATTAGAATTTAAAATAGCAGAATGCAGTATGGACGATCTCGGTAGTCGGAACACTACGGGATGATGAAATTGGATAGGCAATAAATTGAATTAATTCTAAAAACGATATTTTATTATAAAAGAAATAGAAACATTACTATAAAGTAAAACCGATATTTTTTTATTATTATCACTTTTTTATTATTTTTTTTTTTCATGAAGAATTTTTATAGGCAGATTATTTGGATTTATTTAGAAAGATAATAAATAATTAATCGCAGTTTTACTTTGAGAATTTTTTTTGGGGGAGACAAATAAATAATTAATTGTACCATCTTTATTAATTGCATCCATTAATCGTATCAATAAAACAGATATGTAATTAAAAATTAATATTTATCAAATCTATAAGAAAAAAAAAAAAGTCGATTGATAATTTTGACGTTGATCAAATAAATTGCCTGACTAATATTACTTTTTATTGGTTGGGGAAAAAAACCGATAAAATTTTAGTAATAAGGAATGTGCTTTTTAAAATGAATTGTTTCAGGTTGTTCTTTTCTCAAGTTTCTCAAACAAACAAAAAATAAAAAAAAATTATTACCAATTTATATCACACATACTATAAAAAACATATAAACATATGTTTTAGGTTAATTATTTATAAAAAATTAATTATAAGAAAAATCATTTTGCCGTGTCAATAATGATACTTTTGATTAAACGAGTATCACACTATCACTTCACTGTTCACCATAATGTCATGTACATATATATTATTCATGTGTCTCATTTCTACTTTCTAGAAATTATGATACAACTTTGTACAGTCCACATTTGAAAATCATCCTGAAATTTGTTAACTCGGGTATCAATTTATCCTATATGGTTTTTATGATCACAACTTATTTGTTATGATTCTCATGTGAAACAAAATTTTTTTTTCTTTTTTGTTTCTTTCCCCTTGACAGAAAAAAAAGAAAAACTTTATAATAAAATCTGTTGTAAATTACACGTATATTACATTCTTAATTAAGAATACAGATAGTGTACGGATGGTTCTATAATTGGACCCCGTTCGTTTATATTACCGGCAGTTTTACCGATACTTATTGGTGCATTGTCTAATTGTTTCAAAATTAATCACCAAATGTTATATAAATCGATTTTTTACAACAAAGGGTTCATATTATGCACAAGTATTATACGTTGTTGCACAAAAAAAGTCATTCAAGAACTCTTTTCACTTACTTCAAACAAAAATAATTGCATCAGTATCATTAATTTGGGAGGCATAATACCTTGGGTGAGCGGACTGCGCGGTTAACTATGTAAATCAAAACTATATCAGGATGACTTTAATTAAACTGTTAATTGAACAATTTTTTAAATTATAATTAGATACCTAATAAAATAATCATTCTTTATATTAGACCAAAGAATAGTTCGCATATTTTTAGATGTCTAGAGTGAGCTTTCTTAATTTTTTATTACTTTTTTTTTATATGCACCCGTTCTCACAAACATTTCTGACAAAGTTACGTTAATTATTTTCATACCACTGCTCTAATTTCAAATTAATGCCTTATAAAAATTTCTTAAGAAAGTACTAAGAAAGGTATTTTTCATTGGTTAGCAAAATATTTCAAATTTAGCAACGTAAGTACGTAACTTTGTTATCCTGGAATTAAAGTAAATTTTAAAAGATTTATACTTGAAATGACTTAGAATTGAGGCCAGACATCTAAATTTAGCCAAACATTATGGGAGTTTACATATAAACAAAATATCAAGTTTGGAAAAGCAGCTCAAAAGAGTTTAGGAGAATGACATAATGTTTCTTGTAATAATACTATCAAGAAAGTAACAAGGAAACAGAAATTGCGTCAACTCCTTTTAGTTGTATACTAGATATTAGGTAAAAAATAAAATAGAACTAATAGAACTTATGTTTGTTATTTTATGTTGGTTAAAAAAAATCTTTGATAATAAATTTTTATATGATATATAGTTTTGATTTACATAGTTGACCGCTCAAATCTTAACACAGATAAAAAATTAGGAAATATATAACATTTACAGTAAAAAAAAAGAATAAGAAAATTTCTTATTTTAATCTTAAAATTTGATTGTCTAATATATACGTGCAAGATAAAAAATTTCTAAACTTCATTATTATTATTGTTGTTGTTGTTGAACTTAATAAAATCATCCAAATATGTTTTCAGTGAATAATCTGAGGATTAAATAAAAACAACTACCAATAAATCTAATAGCTGCTAAAATAGCAACACTCCAAAGTATAAAAATAAAATAAATATTATTTGAACTTGAGGTAGAAGTGAAATTAGTTATAAGATAAATTAATAACATATTTGAAAATATCCAAGAAGATACGAGATAAGTTCTAAATTTCGCATTTGATTCCTTTTGTTCTTCTTCTTGTCTTTCTTTTGTTTCCCCTTGTCTTTGTAAATCATTTCGTGTTTTTGGGTCCAATAAGATACTTCGTACTTTTTCGTATTCTTCATCAACATCTTCTGGTACATCTACTGTAGCACTTTGATCTCCTTTTGTATCGACTTTCTCTTTTTCATCATGTACTTTTTTTTTCTTGGGATCTCCTTTTGTTCCCCAACTAAAAAGGAAGGAAAAAGAAAAATATCATTAGTTTATTAACATAAAAAGAAAAGGAAATCATCATCCCTCTTTAACTTACCTAACATCATGAATATTACAAAAAGCGTAAATATTTAAAACATTGACATAAAAAGGTACTAATAACATATATTGTGCAAAACTACTAATCATATGATATGGTTCAAAAGATAATAAACTAATAACTAAATATAATCCATAGGTACTTAATAATGATAATACAATATTTCTAAAATAGAAATCGCTAAGAATATTTTGCATGCTTTTTAAATTAAGACCATCTATTTTTACTTGTGAGTCTTTAATACTTATATAAGTTATCCGCCCTATCGCAATCAACATATGAATCATTATAAACGCAAAAAACAATGTAGAAAATATATAGGCCAGTCTTGTACTAGTTAAAGTTCAATTAAGTGTTAATTATATGAGAGTATTAGTATGTAATTTAAATAATAATGAAAAAAACTTTACCTTCCCGGTTTATTACCCATAGCTAATGCGATTTGGAAAACAATTAATGCTATATAAATAAATTTTAAAACATTATATATTATTAATTCCCAGTTTGCATATTGGGCAACCGAATTTCCTAAAATATAAAAGATTAAATAGAGATTTCCCTATAATACAGTAAATAAAGTAGGTTTATTATTATTATACAAATCTTAAAAAAACATCACATGTATTGATAATATAACTCACCAATGCGAACCAAGAAAAGATCAAATTATAAGTTTGATAAAACATTTCAATTGATAATAGAATTTTCCTCAAAATACTATGTTTACTTCTATAAATGTTAAAAGTATGAGAAATAGCATAAAGACTAGCAAAGAAAGTTCCATTTAACCAACGGCGACGTTGCTTAATTAATTCGATTATTTTATCAGGTACATCCGTTTCGGCAGAAGCTGATTTAACATAACGTAATAACCAGGATTCATCTCTTTTTGAAATCAATTCAAAACATAGAATACGATCTTCTGCTAAGTACATATTTGCCTCAAATAAACCAGTCTTTATTTTTTGATCATTTAACTTTTGATTATGAAGTTTCTCGCCCAAAAAATAAGAGGCTAATGGACCAACTTCTTCATTTGTTTCCGGATCGATTTGATTCGCTATAGCTTTGTAACGATAAGCAGAAAAAGCACCAGGTAACACAGTAATATAACCAAAAACGGATTCTAAAGACTTATCTAAAATATTCGACATTTTATATTCAAAATTTTGAGCTGCTACAAGAGGATTGGATAATATATTTTTTCCATATTTTCCTTTCATTGCAACAATTTCACCGCAAGCGCCTCCAATAGAAGGATTATTATCAAAAGCTTTCCATAAATGATAAATAGATTTTTTACCAGGTTTTGTACCGGCATCCAATAAAATGCAAACGTTTGGTTCTAAAATTTTCCCAAAAGCATTAAAAAACCATCTGTGGGAATTAATTTTCTTCGTATTTTCTTCTTTAAGACAAAATAAAACTTGAATTGGTGTATGTACTTCTAATGGTTTCATATTTTCTGGATCAAGGCAAAGTTGAGTTGTATACTCAAAAATATGAGCAGTTACAGGTTTATTATTTACTTCCTTTTTTACTACCCCTTCTTGATATACTCCTATAGCCGATAAATAAGCTTTTGTACTTATATTAATTTCTTCAAATCCATCTGATACAATACATACAACTACTTTTTCCCATCCATCTTTTTTCCACATATCTGATCTATCTCGTTCACATAATTCGCGAATATTTTCTACGACCCCATGAAATGTACGCGCAAATAATTTTGCATCTTCGTTATACATTGTAATAACTATAAATATTTCGGTATCTCTTTCATAAGTTTTTTGTCTAAGTGTATATTTTTCTCTTTCAAAATCGTCAGGATCACATGTACAAGCAGTATATCTAACTTTATCAAATTCCTTTTCTTTAAGAGGAACTTTCGTTGTTAACCCAGTAGGCACAGGACAATCATATACGAAATGCCCATCAGATAATTTGATTTCTTTTTGTGTGTAACGACGTGGTTGAATGCTTGGAGCTTCACCGTAATGTATTGTTTTTGATTCAGGTTGGGTTTTTTCTGATATTTCTATAGTTAATTGATATGGATCATTTTGCAAATTTGTTTGTAATGGATTAGTTGAAGGAGTTATTTGATAATGTTGTGTAGTTGGTATAAGTTCAGTTCCCATATTAATCATATGATAATTATAAGATGTAGAAGAATCTTGAGATACATTTGAAGTTGATTGTGCATTATCAGGAAAAGTTGAGGATGGCTGAGAAGGAGGATAATTATATTGTGGATACCCTCCAATTGGAGGAGGAGGCGGTGGTGGTGGATATCCTCCTCCTTGTCCTTGTTCTGACATAATTTATTTTTATTTATAAATTATATGGAAAAAATTATGCTGTTTCTTGTTATCAAACTTTGTTTTTAAAAGAAAAAAAAAGTTTTACTTTTTTTTTTTTTTTTCGTGAAAACTAGTTTTTTATAAAAAAAAAATTTCATATGGTTTCTTTATATGGGATTTTGTATGGAAAAAAGAATCAATCCTAAAAAAAGGTGATCATTTATAAAATTATAATTAGAACAATCAAATCCAAAAAAACAAAAACAAAAATAAATGACCAGACACGGAAATTTAATTCCTGGCAAAATTATTTTTTCATTTAATAGAAAAGTGGATTTTCAACGGTACTTCCAAGCTTACTTTGCTAGCGTAATTTTTATACCTTATATTGTGGGAATAGTATCTCCGCCCCTTTCACTTGAAAATCTGGGTAAAATATGATTCTTTAACCCTGAAATTTGCAAGATGCTCGACGTCCGCAATTTACAGTAAATTCATTAACTCATTTAAAAATATACATTTATGGTAAACATACGAATAAACCCATTTAAAGACATACATTTATGGTAAACATACGAAGTCGAAGATCTTTTCTATTGTATTACGCAATATACTTTGCACGACGTAGATCTGTTGTCTTTAACTTACGCATCATGTGAATGTGAATGTACGCACTGGCCGGCATATAATGGTAAATCAATTAATTTATGATATAAGGATCATAGAGGCCCCGAATCGAGTGGTCTAAGAGAGTAGAAGTCATGGGTTAATGTAGCACTGGTAAGTACAACTTCGGAGTCTTTTATTCCGAGATTGACACATTTTTCAATTCGGAACTTAAAATTCTTATAAACAAGGTTATTTGGTATTATTTACATCCCTTTGCAGACTTTTGCTTCAATAACATGTTTATTGTGATAATTTTCTAACGTAAAGTATAAAGAAATCACTCAACTTTAACTAACAAGACCGTTCCTGACTGCTTGTTTAACATCCCTCGGATCAGTCAGACGAGCGTTTAAAAATTAACATTTGGTTACACACACCAAAAAAACTACATTAAATATCGACAATTTCAAGAGAAATTAAAAGAATTATAAATTATATTCAATAGTGCACCATTCTTTAGAATAGTAAATAATGTGAATCTTTATTTTCATAAATTATTTAATACATCAAAAAACAAAAGTGAAAAAAATAACAAATAAACCCTTATAATTGTCATAATATATGATTATACTTGAGAAAGAAGTTTCGAAAATTTTTCTTCTATTATTTCAGATAAATCGCTTTTATTCAAAGCTTCTTCGTCCATTAATTTCTTTTTAGCTTTACGAATTTCGTCAACATCCGCATAATAATAACTAAAAATTCATATAAAAAAAAAGAATTAATTCTGATTGACTGTATTAATATAATAAAAAAAAAAAATTTTTTTTTTTTTCTTACATGATATCAGGAAACCAATCAGTCCGACGTCTTTGATGTGGTAATAAATAAAACAACTCAATATCTTTCAGAATCTATGAAAAATAAATGAATAAGTTGCAATTTTATTTTTATTTTTATTTTTTTTTTGAATATTACGTATAATTAATTATTATTTTACTAACCTCAGCTTTTTGTGCTAAATAAAATGCTCTGTCATTATCTTTCTCAATAGCCATATTTAAAAGTCCAATGAATAAATTCATTAAAAAGACAACAATTACCAATGTAAATATAACCATTAATACGATCATAACCGTATTATCTTTAGGTTGCCATGCATCTAATGAGTTTTTATCTCCTATTAAATAATATGATTATAATTAATTAAAGTAATGTTTTTTTAATAAAAAAAAGATAAAAAATCAATTAAAAACTTATATACTATACCTACTAAAAACAATTACACTGCTAAAAGAGAATTAGCATAATTAGAAAATAAATTTGTATATTCATCAGGTTCTTGAACTAAAACTGCATTTGGATTTATTTTTCCATTTTCAGAAATTTGATGATACTTTGTTGTAAGAACCCAAGGATTATTAGGATCATTTAAATCTCCTGAATTATTTTCAGAAAATTCATCAAGTTTAGGTTCCAATAAAATAAAAAATGCATGGGCAAAACTAATAATAATAAGAAATAAAATAAAAAGAAATGAAAAAATTCTACGTCCAACACCAATTATAATGGCAAAATAAATTCCAAATATTTCAAATGCCCGAAAGAAAAGTAAAAATTTGATATCAAGTAAAAGGCATGAAATTGATGCGAAAGGGGTAACATTTATTTCAGGAGCACGAAGCCAAATAATTGAGGTTATTGTAGGCAATAAATAAGCACCTAAATCTATAATAACAAAATTAAGTTAATTCTTAAATAAATATTCTATGAAAAATATAATATATATATATAAATAAATACGTACCGAATAAATTCCAAATATTTAAGATCCATTTTTTTGGATTCCAAATCAACTGCCGAGTTTCAAATAATAAATGAATGAAACCAAAAATAACTGATAAAATTAAAAGGTATTCTTTTTCTTTTATATTAATTATTTCAGGTGAAACTGATGAAGCCAAAGTAAAACAAATAAGAAAAATCGTAAATAAAAACCAAATTGCAGCATAATAATATCCACCAAATAACCTCCATTTAAAATTAATAATAGCTTCACCATTCCAAGTTTTATAAAATTCATTAATTTGTGTTTTTGAAAAAAAACTAGATTTTGGTTTATAAAATAATTCTTTGAAAAAATTATATTCTTTTGGATATGTTATATAATTAGGAAAGGGAACTATAAGTTTATGCTTTGGTTTTAAATTTGGTTTTAAAATTAAACTTATTTTTGATAAATTTAATGTAAATAAAATGTAAAAAATGGTGAAAGTGGTAAAAATGGCGAAAACTCTAGCAATTATTAAAAATTTATAATTTTGATTTTTATATGAAAATAGTATATAAAACACTATCGTTATTGTTGTAGTTATGACAAGAACTTTAAAACGTGTAAAACGATAACCAAAACAAATAGAACAAAAACAACAATCACAACAACAAAAAGAAACACGAAAAACCCAATAAATAAAAATATCAAAAATATTAGAAATATTAGTAAACTTATTAGAAATAATATTAAAAATAGAATTATGTGTATCTAATTCTATATAAAAAGAATGAATATGGTTAAAGTTATTATAATAAATATTTTGATTTGACGAATTAATAAACAGAATCATTTTATTAATTTCATCATAAAATTTTAATAAGAAATCAGAATATTTTTCTCCTAAATGATTCATATTCTTACTTATTATTGATAATAAATAAATATTACGATTTGGGTTTTTTTTAAAATATTCCCAAATTTTATCAATAATTGCATCTATTAATTCTACATTATTTTTTTCAATTGCTGATTTTAATAATTTTATTCCATAATGCACTAAAAAATATTTTTGTTTCAATAAACTTTCAATCCATTGTCTTTTTAAATAATTATTTTCCGTATGTTCAGAAATTTTATCAAAATCTGAATCATCTAATGTAGACTTCTTATAATATTTAATTGCATATTCTAAAAATTTAGTATTAATGCATTCTAGCAATTGAATTTTCTTAAATTTCATATCAAATATATAAATACGTAATTCTTCTTTTTTATAAAATATTAATATATTATTATTAACTTCCTTATGTTCCCAGTCTTTAAACTTCAGCTTTGTATTATATGATGATATCACAATTTCTTTTTTTTCATTTGAACTTAAAACAGTTTCTAGAATAATTTCTTCCTCTCTTTTATCATTTGATTTTAGTCTTAAATTATATTCATTTTGTTCTTCGATCTTTTGAAAAATTCCACAAGTTTTTAAAGAAGGAATTATATAATTTTCTATAAATTGATTTTCATTTACTTCTTGCGTAAGTTTTTGTGTGATAAATTGCTTCTCAATGTTACAAAAGATATTTTTATTATTTATAACTCCTTTCAAGTTTGATGAATTTATGTCTAATAATAAAGTTTTAAAATATTTCCAATCATATTCCTTTGTAATCCACCGTTTATTACGGTATAAGTATAAAAATACCTTGTTATCCATAAATTCAAGATGAGTAAAATCATCTTTAGATTTCAATAAACTATTGAGATCAATAGATTTTTTTAAATTTTGTCTCCAAGAATGAATGTTGATATTACCATTTGATGTTGTAATAATATATTCATCACTATAATTATCAACGATACCGAAATCTTGGACACTATTATCATCAATATCCCCGATTGAAACATTCATTTCATTCATTTTATTAGAATAAATGTAAAGAGTACCATTAATGTTTATAACTGTTAAATTTTTAGAAAAATTTAACTTAATTTCTTCAATATTTATTTCTTTTTCCTATTGATGTGAAATCTACCTATATTAGAAATTATAATAACAAATAATTATTTACTTTGTATATATTATAATTACACTTACATGAGGTAGTATTTTCCAATATTGAAATGTATATGTACCAATTAGGACTTTCCAATATGGAATTATAGATAATTCAAATAAATCTATTATAAATATAATATTATCCATTAAAACTAATAACTTATCGTTAACTACTCTGCCAAAGATTTTGTTCTTCTCGTTTAATTTATGTTCAGATTTACATTTCCAATTCCTATTATCACTAGAAGAATAAATTGAAATGCCGTGATTATAATATGTTATTATATCTCCGTTACTGAGAAAGTCATGTTTCACATCGTAAGGTTCATTATTATTAAGGATAACTTTTTTTTCGTTTTTCATATCATAAATAAATTCTATATTTGAAAAAAAAACAATAATTTAATTTTACAAAGCTTACTGCGAAAAAAAACAAAACCATTTAAAAAATTTAAATAAATGCAATTTACCTTTGTTTAATATTATAATCATCTTATCGGAAACTTTGAAATCCATATACGATTGGAAATAACATTCAGGAGAAGCATGTTTATCATATATTGGTCCTTCCAGTTCCTGACTCCAACAAACAAAAGACTTATCTTCCTGGCTATACGTAACAATATATTTTGATTTTGGAGAAATGGCCATTTTAGTTATCGGTTTTCCATCATGTGGTACCACGTTGATAACATCATGTACAGTTTCCTCGATGTTGAGCGCAGTTTCTTCAACGTTGATTTTTTCTAATTCATCCATTCAAATTTTGAACGTTCTTTTATCTTGATTTTAAAATATGAATGGAATGTATAAAAAAAATATTGGCGACGAATCTCATACTTTTTATAGGAAATTTCAACGTATTCTGCAGTGAGTGCAGTCGTGTGAGCAATGTCCATTTTTATACCTATCAATAAAAAATTTTTTCGTTTATTAAAGCACAGTGTTACACAGTAATTTTTTCCGACAATTATGGGAATGAATTTTTTAATACTGCGTATAAAATACAAATAGCTAAAGCAACTATCGAAATTTTAAAACTTCATAGAGATAAAAATGAAATTTGTTCAAAAAAAAAAAATATGATAAATTAGATTCTGTTACTAAGAAGATGAGTAAATTTATTTTAGAAATTTCTCAGCAAAGGAACTTTAATAGCTTTGTTAAGGCTGATGATATAAGAAAAAGGGCTAATGATTTAAATGAAGAATTTGGTTCTATTGTGCAATTTCTGAAATTTTCTTTAATTGCTGATCTTAGGGTACGTGATATGTAAATTTTATATGATTAGAAACGTAATTATTTCGTATTTCTAGTGTCTAAGAACTATTGATAAAAAAGGTTTTCAAAATGGATTGCCTACTATTGAAGAGAGTGAAATTCAGAGAGACGGAGTAAAGCCTTTCGAGAATTTTTAAAGGCGATTAATTATTTGATACCAAAAGTATTTCAAGCATTACAAACAAATAGTTGAAAAAATTATAGAAATTTTGAAAGATCATAAAGATCATAGAAATGAAAATAATAAAACCGCAATTTTATTTTAAAAAATCTACGAGAATTAGTTAATACATTGCAAACTATTTTGGAGCTACATTTGTTAAAAGGGTCTTATTGAACAAAATAAGGAATTTGATTCTATTAGAATGTTTTTTAATAGTTCTGTACGTACTGTTAAAAATAATAAAATTATTCAAGAATTAATGAAGGTAACATGTGATACGTAATTTGATATTTGATAAACGTAATTATTTTTAACAAATTTCGTATACTAATAATAATACAAATGCATTTCAAAATGAACTGCTTCCGTATTATGATTTTGAAGAAATTGGAGAAGAAAAGTTCTAGTAATAAATTTATCCTGTGTTAATATTAAATAAATCATAATTACTAAATTCTTTATTAATTATAAAATTTTGATTCAAATAGTTATATTTGAAATACGTATACAATAATCAAATTACTAATGAAATTTTTATATTAAATAAAGTAAGAAAAAAACACATATAACATGTAACTTTCGGATGTAGATGACTCAAGGATTTTGCGAAAAGTTTAGGGGTTGTTTAATTTTGCATATATGAAAGTTTGGATATGCTTAATTTCGGGGTGCTTAATGTTGGAAATATTTTTTGTGACGACACTAGTTTTGGAAATCAAAAATAATAAAACGCAAAACAACGCTTACCACTACTTCTTCGCCATTCGTTGTGGTTCCACCAAAGAGATTATAAATAATACGCTATCACCTATCTCTTGATTCACTTAAAGTAAGAAACAAGAGCTTCATATCCAATATAAGCAAAAATATATATATATAAATTATACGCTTGTTTCTTTGAGTAGCCAAAATTCACCAAAAACAATAGTATAAAACTTCAAACAAATATATTGAGTCGGTTGTAAAATAAGTTATGGATAATAATCTTTCACAAAATGGAGACCATAGTAATGTTCACCAGTCTAATTTGACTGATAATGATTATTCAAGATCATCAACGAATGATGTTAACCAAGCTGAGCATCTTTTTTCGAATTTTAATTACAATGATGCTAATACTCCTTACGGTTATACCGACTTTCTCACGATGAACGACAATATTCTTTCACCACCCGCATATACACCAATCATGTCTAGCAACTACGGTTCTATTCCGGATCCTAATGAACAGCAATATATTTCAACTTCGCATTCTTACACTTCAACTACCTCACCGTATGTACCAAAATCCAATGCAGCATATTCAAAATATTCCTACTCAAGTGACTCCACTTGACATGAATGTCAATTTCTCTCAAACAAATCGTTCTGAAATCTTTAGATTTGATATTCCCGGCTTTCAAATTCAAGTTATCGTTATTCCTGTTTCTTCTCCATCAACTAGCTTAAACAATTCAGATATGTTGAATCAGGGTCAATAAAATTAAAAATTATTCATCCTGATCGTTTAGAATGTAGTAGCTTTTTTGATACATGACATTTTTTAGGTTTACGCTTTTTATTTTATTATTTTATTATCTGTTATATTTTATTTACTTATAAGTTAGTGGGTGGTATATTTTATAAATAAAGCTTATTTTATCATAAAAGAATTTATAAAATTAGTTTTATTTTTGATTTTAAATTAGGACTTGAGAGCGAATTAATTAATTTACCCGCGTTTTTTTGATTTTTTTTAGAAACATCATCCTATTATAAATCGCTTATTGAAGAAAAAATTTTTTTCCCGAAAAAGCGTACTTGTCTTATTTACTTATTAAAAATTGAAAATTTGATTTGATCGGATTTGAATAGGCTTGCAGACATTTCTTATGCCAAGGTAGTTGCATTACGGCAAGATACAACATATGCTGTGACATCGAAAAAATTTTTTATATATTCATTGATACTATTTTGGGCGCCAATTATACTCACTACCTTATACGCACATATGGCAAAAATGCCTAAAGGTCTAAAGGTAGTATCTCTTTTACGATATTGACATAGTGACGTAAGAAGTACCTTGAGAAATGCTATACATTATGATTATAGAGATCGACCGATATCTAAGCCACTAGATCTTAATTATGATTCATTGTTGCAGAAACCGAAATTTTTTTTTTTCTAAAGATAAGTCAACAATGAAGTACATTGATAATAAAAGAAAGTTGGGATGTGATGTATTTGCAGAATTAAATTTGATTATACAAAATTCAGAATCCAATTCTGAAAATTCACAAAATATTTTAATAAAATTAACAGAATCTTTAGAGAAAATTTTAAATGAAAATCTTTATCAGGCGAAAAATGATGATATAACACGTCAACATGGAGAAATTCTTGAGAAAATTATTTCTTATGCTATCTCCATCTCTAATCTTGGATGTAAATAATTAGACTTCGTTCATATTTTATTTTAATTCAGTTCCTAATTAATTATTATTCTGTTTATGGATTCTAGTTGGCGATAATTATCCCATAATATTTAAATTATTTAATATATTGATACAAATCGAATATACTATTGTTCAAGAACATATTGAATCTTTATGGAGGATTATACTTATGGTATGGGATTTTTTATTACACAAACTATTAAAAAAAAGGCTACTGAATATCATAATTCTTATTTTTTTTTTAGTCACGGGTTGAATCAATAGACATTTGTATAGAATTATTAAAAAGAATATTAGAAGTATATGCTAAATCTTGTAAAATGGATTTATACATTAAAAGCTTTTTATCAGTTTTAAGTAATATACAAATAGATGCACATATAATAATGAGATCTCCATTATTTTGTACTGTGATTTTAGATGAGTATGTGTCTATTTTGGTTTTTATTTCAATTAAAGAAATTTCTGAAATTTATTTTTATAAAATTTAAGGTTCTCAAGTAAAGTAACGAGTAATGTGCCAACATCTCAAGCTATTGAGATCATAAATTTATTTACATCAAAGTTATTCTGTTTACCTGGATTTTTTGAACAAAGTATTACCATCAACAAATCAAATAAGAAAAGAAAATTGGATGAAAATAATATTATTGATACGAAAATATTAGAACCAATGATTCTGGTGATGGGCAAATTTTTGAAGGCTTTAAAAATCTCTGCTTCATTTAAGGATGAAACGGAAAAAATATTTCAAACAATATTTGATCGATTTATTTATCCAATTTTATCTTGTGATTACACTAATAAGGATGAACTATTACATGAAAATCTGTCATATGTTGCGCTTAGTTTGCATCATGCTTTAGTGGATATTTCTACTACATATTGGAAGAACACTGCTACTTCAAATTTTATGGATATATTATTTAATGCTACATTAAGGAATCCAAAATCGATTCTGTTTTTGGTATGTTTTCTGTATGTTTTCTTTTTATGATTCTGATTCCAGATGTAGTACTAATTTTTTTTTGATTCTGTTATTTTAGAATAAAGTTCGACTTCAACATGTTTATCAATCAACTTCATTCATGAAATATCAATATAATATGAACGATGATTCAATTATAATTTTGCGTAAATTAGTAGATTCAGTTCTTCTCACTTTGAAAGAACCAGAAAGTCCTGATATTACTTGGACAGGAAAATTGGTTGACTTGAATAATGAGAATTTTGCTGTGGCTAATTTCATGATTATCCTTGGAGATTGGCTTGATGTTGTTAGGTAAACTAAGCACCCTATATATTGGAGTGTATCAACACATAATGCCAATATGCTAATTCTTTCCGATATTAATTATGTCTAACAAATTTAATTTAATATAGCAACATGTGTCATGAACATCATCTTGCATTGATCATAAGACTCATAATTAATTGGTCTATAGCTTATTCATCAATCGACTTGCATCATCTCAAAGAAATTTCTATTGGAACTTTATGCTTGCAACATTTAAAATCTGCAGAGTTTTTTGAATTGAAACCTTTGCGAGGTAATATATTTTTTTTAATCATTATGAATGTCATTTTATTTTTTTTTAACTATCTTTTTATGTACTTAATATAGATAATTTTGTAAGAGTATATTTAGAAGAAATATTCAAATGCTTTAAACAAATAAAAATATCAAATGAGAGTAATAAGGAATTGGATATTATTCTAGTTATTGGTCAACAACTAGAAGGGCCAAATATGTTAAAGAATGTGATATCTTGCTTTAACGAAAGTATCGGCACTATAAATCCTGTAACTTGTTTTTCTTTAACAAGTATTAACAAGATAATAAAATATTTTAATTTCTTACACTTATTTCCTATGGAATATTTTACAAAGCAAGAAATCAATGATCTTTCATTATTAACATTGTTGGTTGATAAATGGTTATCACTTATTAAAATAGAAAGTTGGGATGAATTTTTAGAGATATTAAAATGCTCCATTTTGTGTAGAAGTTTAATTTGTAAATTTATTTCTTATATGAATAGAAAAGATGATATTCTGGTAAGGAATTTAATATTATGTATAAAAGTTGTTAATATGATTTTTTTAATCAAAATAATTATTTGATATACTTTAGAAGAAAGATGTATCTTTCATTATATGGTGGATATCTTCTATAAATATGTATCAAACATATATAGTTGATTATATAAATAATAATGAAACTATTCAAAATCTTTTTGAAAAATTTATACAAATAACTTGTCAAATATTTACATTAATAATAAGGTAAGAAAATTTATATATTAACAATAATATATACATCATTTACCTGAAATATTTTTTATCTTTAGACAAGTTCTTATTATTTTTCAAGATAATGATGAATTTAAAATAGATTATCTGAATAGAACAGTAGATTATTTTAAAAATCTGATTGATAGTATAGGGGAATCATTTTCCAAAGAGAAAGATTCATCAAATGATGTTATATGGAGATTTACTTCTGAATTTCTAAAGATTGGTATAGAATCAGCTGAATCTCGCAAGTAAGGATTTAGTTTATAGTCATTACACATAATTTATTTATTACACAGTCTAATTTCATTAATATTTAATAATAGGCAGTTAAAAACACTTCAACTTAATAGCGATAATCCTGTTTGGAGATCATTTATAACATTACAATCCGTTTCAGAGAAGCAATTAATTAGAATTCTTTCAAATATTCTTGATAAATCAATTCAAGAAATCCAAAATTCTAATAATTCTGATGATTTAAAGTGGAAAGAAAAATTATCTACTGAATTTAAATATTATAATAATGAGCTGAAAACATATAAGATTTGTTTACAATATTATCGTTTGTTTAAGAATTCAGAATTGGAAGCTATCATAGAAGGTATGATGATAATATTATTATTTATTATTAAACCGATATGTCAATACTTATAATTCTTTTATTTATATTAAGCTTCAAATGTGATTTCTTTGCTTTCGAAATTTTTCAAAATTACTACATCAATGTTACATGCAAGTTTATTAGAAATGGATGATACATTTGATAATAAAGTTGTATTAAAACAGTGTATAACTTTATTATCAATTGTTATCGAATTTATATTTATAATTAATTATGAATTCGATAAGGATGTTTTACTTAAAATTTTTAGATTTGTTTGTGATTTAATGAAAATTTTCTATAATGAAGGTATTATATTATATTTTACGTTAAATTTTTAATTGGATTAGAATTAACTTTTTAAATTATTTTCTAATTCTCTCTCTCAATTTTTTTTCAGATCCGAATAGTGAATTATCAAAAGAATTAGATGCGATGTTTAATTCAATTATTTCAAAATTATCAAATGAAAAATATGATATTATTGCTAATGATATTTTGAATAAGCTTGAAAATTCATCATTTTCAGTTAGAAATAATACAAACGATAATATAATATTTTTAATTAATTTGATCAATACCTTTCTTTGTAAATCTAATTATGGTAAATATAATTTAAAATTTTTTTTTTTTTTATTGACCTAATTAAATTAACACTTTGGCATTTATAGAACAACTACGTAAATTGGAAAAAAAACTTCCTAATTTACTTTGTGGAATTGGTGGTATAGCAGAATTAATAAATAAAGTTAAACATGGAATACAAATATTACGAATATTGAAATTTCTTATCTGTCATAGAGTATGTATTATTAATAACAAATATGTTATGATATTTTTTAATGAAAAAATTGAATTAAAATTTCAAAAAAAACTTTTAATTAGGCATTTTCGTTTCAAAGCATGGATATTGGATTGGTTTTATCTACAGTGATATCATTAATATTACCTAAACGACAATATGAATTGAGTGAAGAACAAGAGTTTAAAGAATTATTTGAAGAAATCTGTTATTTACTTTGTGATATACTTATGCATCGTCGTGAACAATTATATCACACAATACCAACATTCATATTTATTATACAAACAATGTTTCATTGTTTCAAAAAAACTCAAAAATCGTTTAGAGCGAATTTTAAAGAAGTACAACAAAAAGAACACCAAGGAAGATATATTTCATGGTGGGAAGAACACTTAAATAATCCATTACCAATAGAAAGTGCGAAGATATTTTCAAGATTATTAACAACAATTTCATATAGTAAAAAATCAAATAAATCAAATTTTAATAATAAGGCTTTTGTTAAACATATTCCTTCATTATTATCAGAGTATATTTACATACAAACAAAGAATAATATATTAGAAGCAAATATAAGAGATACATTAAAGAATGGAACTTATTCTTTATTAGATTTATGTGGACAATTTGAAAGAGATATGATTATGGTTAATTTAGATGTAGTTGGTAAAAATTTATTTAAAAATTTATGGATTGATTATAATAAAGAATGGAAATATGTAGGAAGGGGTTAATTTGTTTGGTTGCCTTAATAAATGTAATTTTTTTAAAAAAAAGTTTTATTAAAGTTATTATTTTATCAAAATTATTTTATCAAAATTCATAATGAACAAATATTTTTAATAAACTTTAAAGAAAACAACTGGTTTAATAAATATAATATTTTTTAAAAAAATTTCTTTAATAAAAAAGCAAATTTCTTTAAAAATTTAAACAATTGCTTAATTAACTAAAATAATAAAAAAAAACTTTTTACTTTTTACAATTTAAAAAAATATATTAAAAAAAAGTTTATATTTACTTTTTATATAAACAAAAAAAATATTATTAAATAATATATATATTATACCTCTAATTATTATATATTATTATAAAATATAATAAATTATAAAATTCTATTATTAGTTGTTGCATTAATTTAAAAAAAAAATAAATATTTTTTTTTGTAAATATAAAAATAAAAAAACTATAAATAATTTAAATACAGTAAATTAAATAATCTTAATATTCAATTGCTCATTAAAGTAAAATAAAATTTACTAAAGGTAAAAAATAAAAATTATTTTAGATAAAATAATTTTTATTTTTATTTATTATATTAAAAGTTAAATTTTATCAGGTTTTTTTTTTTATATATCTTATTGTTATTTAATATATTAATAGTAACAAAAATAATAATATAAAATTCTCATCTTTTAAAGATATTTTTTATTACATTCCACAATCCTATTAGCTTTAATAACTGACATGTTCACTCATGGTAATAGCTTTATTTACTTATTTCTTAAGCTAAGTAATTGTTAGTGAAATGTCATAATGATCAGGATTATCATAAAAGAATACCATTCCATTCTAATAAAAATAATTAATAGTAGCAAATATTTTACAAGATTCAATCTATTATAACCAATAATAAAATAATATACTTTTTAGAAGTTTTACTTATATATATTAACTTTAATAGAAACTTCTTTAATAATTTGCTTGATAATCTATAGATACTTTTTGAATAATCATTTAAAAGAGCTGAAATTTTCATGGTGATAAGTTTAATAATAAGGTAAAATTGCAGTATTATATTTCTATAAATTACTAAGAATCTCAACTATTTTATAAGTATGTTGATCTCTATCACAATCCCTATCTCTATTACAAGATATAAAACTTTTCTAAAATGAATCATAATAATTATTTTCTTTATATATTCCATTATTTTGACCATTATATTTTCTTTTATAGTTGAAGCAAACTTGTTCTTCAAATAACAATAAGGATGAATAGTAACTAATTAATTACATCATATTTTGGCAAATAGACTAATTCACTATTTATTATAAAATTTTATGAATTAATTACATTTGTCAAAATACATTACATTTATTAAAATAAATTTAATTAGTATTTTGTTATTTTAATAAAAAATATAATAACTAGAATAGGCTTATTCTCCAGATAATAATAATATCATTCATATCTAAATATAAATTATCAAATTCAATATTATTTAAATTTTATTTAAAAATATTAAATAAAAGTTTTACTTATATATACTTCAGTAAAAGTCTTTTTAATAACTTATTCTATGATCTTTTGGATAACTATCTAAAAAAAGCTGAAATCTATAGTGATAAGTTTAGTAATAAGGTAAAATTACAATATTATATTTCTATGAATTACTAAGAATCTCAGTTATTTTATAAGTACATTGATCTCTATCACAATCCCTATCTTTATCATGAGATATAAAATTTTTCTAAGATGAATCATAGCAACTATTTGCTTTGTATATTTCATTATTTTGATCATCATATTTTCTTTTGTAGCTAAAGTAGGCTTATCAGAATAAATAATACTATTTATATCTAAATATAAATTGTTAAATTCAATATTATTTGGATTTTATTTAGAAGGAAGTTTTACTCTATTAATTTCAGTAGAAGTTTCTTCAATAATAATCTTTAGATACTTTTGGATAACTATTTAAAGAGAACTGGAATTTCTATAATGATAAATTTAGTAATAAGGTAGAATTGCAGTGTTATATTTCTATGAATTACTAAGAATCTTGGCTATTTTATAAGTATATTAATCCCTATCACAATCCCTATCTCTATTATTTTTACCTTTATATAGTATCTTTAGAATACATAAATTTATAATAAAGAAGTTCTATTATTATTATAATAAATATATTGGAACAATAATAATAAATTTTAAAATCGAAAATCTGAGATATTATTTATAAATATACTAAAATATAGCATATATTATTACCAATAATTTGAAATTTAAATAATTTGATCATCTGAATCAAAATATTTTTTTTAAACAATATTCTATCTATCTATTCATCTTCTTCAAATTTATGTAAATATAAAATTAACCTTTGTATTACTTCTATATATTATATTGCATTTGTATACTTTGCTTGATATTTTCATTACCATACTTGATTTTAAAGTTATGTTATATTTGCCAAAGAAATGGTACTGTTATTTAATCATAAAATTGGAATTAATGTGTAAGCATATAATGCTCTTATTTTATCAATTTTTTTTAGTTTATGTTTTAATTTAGCATATTTCAAAGATATATTTTTAGCTTCTTTATCAGGTAAAACTTCATAAATTTTACAAGTATAAATTATATTAAAGTTAACACTCATTTTGACAATATAAAAGTTAAATATCTCAAATCGATCTTCATTAGATACTGATCTGGTTATTTTGGTATTTAAAAAAAAAATATTAATCTAATAATTATTTTATTTCCTCAAATTTATGTTATTTTTTAACAATTTGGAATAAATATCATTAATTTAGAAACAGAAGTTAAATTTATTTTATTTCAACCAATTCTTTAGTTTTGAATGTATATTAATGAACCTCTTATAAATTGCTTTTGCTCTATTAATTTCTTAGTATTTTTTTTCCATTTTGATATAAGCATTTCATGCTGATTTATCCAGTTTTTACTGCATTCACCATTTAAATATTTAATGTACTCCTGCAATATTTCCTAATATTTCTTCATTTCCTAATATTTTTTTTATATAAATATATTTGTATCATAATTAATCCACTTATAATAATAAAGTAATAGTACAATCAAACAAATTTCTAGCATGATTTTCCATTCAGTATATTTAATAAAAAGAGTAATATTGCATAAATCCATATCCAATGCTCTTTCATTTATTATTGAATATGCTCCATATTTGACTTTCTTTCCATGCTGTATATTTTAATTAACTTCTAATATTTAATCTATTTCTTTTCTTTCCTTTTATATAAAATGATATTCTGATAATTCTTCTAAGTTAGAAATCTTTTGATAAAATATTTTTTTGCAGATTCTTATCTTTTTTTAACTTCACAAAGAATTTGTTTCTTATAATTTAATTTTAAAAGCCATATTTTCCATTTTATTGAGAAGTTTAAATGGAACTGATCTATAAAGACATTCATATAATTTTTTTGCTTTCTTTAATGATATAAGTGCTTTAACTGAATTTTTTTTTTTATTTAGCCTTTATTATTGAAATGTTAGGATTCTTATATTTGTCTACAAAAGCTTTTAAGATTCTATCAAAATCATTTAATGCTTTTTACCTAACTGATTGATCTGAATCACTAAAGTTAATTTAGATACCATAATTTTTTGAATTCATTTAGCTTCTTCATAATAATCATTACAAATCAATATTTGTCTATATCCATAACACATTGAAGTATGATTTTCATTAATGTCTATTACATGATAATAGTAATAAAAAGCCTTATCATAGTTTTCTATAAAATGATAAGCTCTAGCAAATTGATAATGTATTTCAAATTGCATAAATTTAAAATCAGTGTAAAAAAAATATAACCTCCTATCTATTTAATGCTTTTTACCTAACTGATTGATCTGAGTCATTAAAGTTAATATAAGTGTTCAATACATATAAAACTGTAATAATATCTAAATTTTTGATATTTAGATACCATAATTTTTTGAATTCATTTAGCTTCTTCATAATAATCATTACAAATCAATATTTGTCTGTATCCATGATAACATATTGAAATATGATTTTCATTAATGTCTATTGCATGATAATAGTAATAAAAGGCCTTATCATAGTTTTTTATAAAATGATAAGCTCTAGAAAATTGATAATATATTTCAAATTGCATAAATTTAAAATCAGTGTAAAAAGAATATGACCTCTTATTAGTAAGGTTTTATTTCTAGTAGTTATATTACTTCATCACTATTTATAGGATAATAACTTGAGAAATCAGCATAATTATTCATAAATATTTTGGTATATTCACATTATATTAACCAGGTTCAATTACATTATTATTTTTAGTCTGTTATTTATAAAAATTTGATACTTATAAGAAGGATATATTTGTAATTATAGTATCACTACTTATAGGATAATAACTTGATCCAATTCATTTAGTAGTTCATTTTATCATCACTACTTATAGGATAATAACTTGAGAAATCACATTATATTAACCAGATTCAATCATATTATTGTTTTTAGTTTGTTGTTTATAAAAATTTGATACTTGTAAAAAAAATGAGAAGAATAAAAAATAAGAGGAATAAAAAATCATCACATTACTTTATCACTACTTATAGAATAATAACTTGAGAAATCACATTATATTAATCAGATTCAATCACATTATTTGTTTTGAATCTGATGTTTATAAAAATTTGATACTTGTAAGAAGGATATACTTGTAATTATAGTAAAAAGATGAAAGGAATAAAAAATGAAAGGAATAAAAGAAGAAATAAGGTCTTTTTATATATTTTTTTATTGTACAAACTTTGTGTTAATAAATTTGAACTATACTTTTTTTAGGCAAATTAATTTCTTTTGTAAACTATAATAGATAAAGATGCTGCTTGAAACTATTTTTTAGTTTCTAAAACTGAAACTAAAACTAAAACTAAAACTGAAATTTGTCTAAAATTCTAAAACTATTTCAAAATTCCTAAAACTATTTC